GAGAGAGAGAGAGAGAGGTGCTTACCTCGAGAGGATCAGGAGAGAAGAAGGCACAGAGTGGTTGAGAGATAAATCCAACCAGTCACGAAGCTGCAAAAAGAATTGTAATAGATTCAATGACATTAAACAGAGTTTCTCAGATTACCCGTAGATAGGTGATGTGAGGAAAGGAATATGAGAAAAAGAATCTAACAAATACGAGGGCAGATAAAAATAAAAAATAAAAAAGAGGACCCAATCGGCACATAGAAAAGAATGTATTTTGCATACATAAGAATATAATTATTTTATTTTATGAAATATAAACTTGTCTTGTGTTTCTAACACTGAACTTTTGACAATTGCACTTGTACATCCAAGTACAGAAAGTTCAAGAGGCATTTGTACAACCTGCCGTTGCGTTTCCTCAACCGAAAGTAAACCCAAATGGCCTCGATCCCGACAAGCCTGTCGGAGTTCAGCTTCTGATAAGGACTCTACACCTTCCGCTTGGATCAATTTGTCATCATTCTTGATCCTGAAGAAATAAAATACACTTGCCTTTCTTAGTGAACTGCTTTTCTCAGATTGGTAACGAACTTGTTTTTTAGGGAAAATTATGGATACCCCCTTGGAATGTACTTTGTAGACATCCAACCTCCCGATACTTTTCATATCACACCCTTAACCCAATTACTATCTTCTCTTGCTTTTACGCCCCCAGTCAAAAAGTTAATATGTTAAAGATTAAATTACCCTTTTAATCCTCTCTCTCACTATCTCCCCGCCAGATCTCTCTCTCTCTCTCTCTCCGCCCAAAATGGGAAAGTGCGGTTTGCGTGATTTGGCACAAAAGTGTGCCAGACCGGTAGTGAGGCTTCTGGAATTTGAAGCCAGAATCTGGTCCGACACAATTTTTGTGCCGAACCGCTTTTTTTCATTATTTTTTCCGTGGCATGGCAACAAATGTGCCGGACCAAAAGAACATGGAAAAAAATGGGGTCCGATAGAAAATATGCCGGACCGGCTTGTAGTTGGGAGGAAGAAGCCGCTGGTCCAGCAAATTTTCTGCCGGACCGCATTTTTTTGGCAGAGAGATACCGGGTAGAGAAAGAAAGAGAGAGAGACAGAGAGAGAGAGAGAGAGCGAGAGAGAGAGAGAGAAGATTGAAAGGAGGGCAGTTTAGTCTTTAACATATTAACTTTGTGACCGGGGGGGGGGGGGGGTAAAAACAAGGAAAAATAGTAATTGGGTTAAGGCTGTGATATGAGAAGTATTGGGGGTTTGGATGTTTACAAAGTACATTCCAGGGGGGTATCAATAGTGTTCCTTTTTTTTGGGTTAATATTAAAATCAATACAGAAAGAGTTAAAAAACAAAAAGAAAAAGAAGGGATGCCACCATAGTAACTTAATGATTGACAAATAAACTCCTCTAGCAATGAAGAAGCACACATGACACCCTGTATTATTAGCTGAAGCCTCAGTGTTTGCTTCCCTCTTTTTATGAGGGGGTCAATGTGAACTAACAAAGATGCATGAAAATATAAGAGTTCTAGGAAGAGATGCACAATCCAATACCCCTTTTTTTTTTTTAATTTGCTCAGAATGAAAACAACAACACTCTCATGCCTCTTAAACATTTTATTGCCAAATATACAAGGCATACAAGGCATAGAGAAAACTTCATTCTTTAGAATTTCTCAGTGAAGGAAGATTTCAAGTAGTATGATCCTCTCAAGAAGCTGTTGCTGATAATAAAAAGATAAATATTTCTCAAAATTTGACAATAGTAAAATAAATTAAAAAAACGAAGATGTCCCCTACACTTTTCAAGTAAGTTTCTTTGGCTTTTATATTGTATATGAGAACGAATCCCGCAGAACTAAGATACTGTAGTAACATATATCATTATTGGGCCTATTACCAGCAGGGTCTTCTATCCCAATATTAAGAATATTTTTTTTTTTTACAGTATTTTTACTAAGTTTATTATTTTAAATTCTTAAATATACATATTTTTTAATTTCAACATAGTGAGAAATGAACTGTGATAGTATATCGAGCTTTAGTTCAGTTGTAAATAGGAGCATGATTGAGTTGGCTTTTTTCTTTTGACTTGGCATGAGATGATATTTCCATCAATGTACTTATTTCAAGAAAGAAAAAGTGAGTGAAATTATAAACTTTTGGAACTTGATTGTCAAGCACAAGGAAGTTAGGCAAATAGGTTCAGGACAACATTTTTTAATCTTAAATTCAAATTTCAAGATATAATATCTCTTTATAGGTAAGTTACCAGTACTTAGCAAAATTCGAATGTTATTTTAAATTTAGCGTTCAGGGTACTTATATCTCTTTCAGTTTTAGGTAAGTCATCAATCCTCATCAAAATTGGAAGGCAAGAATGGCTTTAACTTAAATTATCACCACTGTTAAATTTTTACTAAGTTCTTATTATCAAAATCAAATAAATAGCAATAGTAACAGAGGCCCCAAAAATAATGACAAATTCAATATATTGGAATTGTACCAGAGAGTTTATCTGGGAGATTATGTTCTTCCAAGAAAAAACCGGTATATTTGTCTTACTATCAATATTTGTTACTAAGGTTGCTATCGCCCACAAGTGAGTGTTTTACAGTAATTAAACTAGGAAAACAGCTTGAGACCCAAATACTATTAAAGGTGATGATGCCACTATATTTTTTAGTAGACCATGTATGCTACACACTACATGATACAACGTATAAACATGACAATGCAAGGACGAATACACGCCATACACTCCAAATAATGGAAGGGCCCAGGTAGAACAACCCCAATCATATGCAATTTGGCATTCCCACTATTAAAAAAAAGTAAAATAAAAAACTGCAAAAAAATGGAAATAATGGAAGTATGAAATGAAACAAAAAAAGGAATAACACCGTTTGGACAGCTGTATAACAACGAGTAAGGTTATTATCATAAAGGGGGAAAAAATGTTTGTGTTTTTCAGGGTTAGGGACATTTGTGGCAGTGTTTTGTTGAAGTGCGTTCACCAAACTCTGTAATCCTTGGATAGAGGAGAGTACCCAGAATGGCCATTTTTCACTCCTAAATGGGTGAAAGAAAATTGCCCTGTTCCCGAACTTTGTCTCCAAATGGGAACCAAGACACAGGAAGATATGACTAACAAACAGGCTGTAGGAACTTTCATCCCCATGACTAGAAAGTTTCCCATTGCTTCTTCCCCCAAAAGTGCACCTCCTTTGTTTACCCCATTAACTATGTAAGTCTTGCTTGCTACCCTTGGAAATCATCCATAACCTTTTTCAAGTGCTATAGAATTCCACCCTTTGAGCTCATTCTCAATCTATGAAGGGAAAAAATCTCGTCCCTTACCACCTAGTTGTCCTAAAAAGCAAACCCATCTACTTATCACCCCAAAAAAAAAAAAGGAGCAAAATCATCTCATTGTTTGGCACCTTACTTCATTGTTGTCAATTACTATCTATGAGTATGAGAATGACACGCCTTGCACTTTGCCAGTGTTGGTAAGCGTGACTAAGAAGGAAAGGCTAATGGAAAGAGCGAAGTACACACACAAAAAAAAAACAAATATATATATATATAAGGACTTAATTTACCAAACTGTTTCTACCAAGTCCAAGAATCAAACCCATGTTTGATCATAATAAAAAAGATAAACTTCCATAAACAATCGCACTTTTCCAAACTTCAACTTCAACAATTTATAATCTATTCTAATGTCAAACAACAACTTCAACTTCACAGGTAATATTGATATCCAATCTTCAGCTTCAACAAAATTAGAAGTCCATGAGAGCAGCGTCATGACAATGAGGATGTTCAGAACCAGTATATAAGGTGAAGAATAAAATGTTTCAAGTCATGGACAGTAAATGCCAATTATTGTCTTGAAATAACACAGAGACATCAGTCATGAGACTTACTGTTGAAGTTTCTTCCGAAGCATATACCGTAAGTATGCATCAGTTCCGTAAGGACTAATACCCATGTATTTGCACATATTAACCAGCCTTGGTCTGTTAAAAAATACAATACAATGATTAGGTGTCTAGAAAAATGTTAATAATGCGCAATAAATGAGGAAAACAGAATAACAATGACCTGCTTATGTTGTCCAGAGTGAGTTCATCATTGAACAACTTTGCAAAGCCTAAGATTTCTTCATTAGAAACATGACCTCCAGTTCGCGCCTGTTTGAAGATCCAGATATCAACAGTTATTTTACACTAAAAATTGGAATCCAAATAAACTAACATCAATAAAAAATGTATTATTACCACTTGAAGAACTGCTTTATTTTACCATGTAGATTATATATAACTTATTTATATATACATCAACTGCATTTAGATGCACCCTACAGTATACTTTCGTAAAGGTATGAAACCAATATCACAAGAGATGATATCCAAATAACCTTGTTCAGAAATTCATCAAGATCTTCAGCAGTTTTCTTTATTTCACCACTACGCGATGTTTGAACTTCCTTTGCCATTTCTTTCGCTGTGTCCTGCAAGAATTTTGCATACTCTATCCTCGCATTGAGACGCCGTTTCAAAGCTTCCTACAATTCCAATGCCAAAAGAAAAAAATGGTTGACTCTCATTTTCTCTGTTTAGATCTTTAGAATGAAAACCAAATATCAAGTATTTATTCATTTATTCTTCAAAGAAAAATATTTATTAATTTATTTGATCGGAATCTAAACATTTAATTAGGAAGAGGGCAACAACCCCCACCCCCTCAAAAACCCCAAAAAGCACCCCAAAAAAAAAGGCTTTTCTCTGCCCATGATAGACTCACATATACAAATGAAGGTGCTCACATACAATCAAATATGTGTAATGTATATATGCATAAACATTACCCACATACCCACATTAATGTGTGCACATGCACAAAAACATACATGCCTACATAAGGGCAAGCATGCATGCATACAATCAAATACGCATAGAATAGATATACATAAATCATCACTTGAGCCTTAGCCCAATTATTTGGGGTCGGGTAAATATATACATAAATATACTTAGAAATACAACTTATGGGAACCGCAGCAAGGAAAAAATGTCAGGTCAAATGGGCAAGTACGCTCTCTAAACATATATACCAAAATGATTTGGACTCATGGGTGTTGAAGAGGATGTATCCCAAAGGGTACCTGTTCCTTCATCTTGTCCTGGAAAGTAGAGGGCAACATGTTGGGGAACACTTTCAGAAACACCGGGAGTAAGAACTCCATGAATGGAACAATGATAAAGACAGCGACAGGAACTAGCCTGAAAATATCGGCCGTGGTGCGTGTAAGTTGTTGGCGCTCCCTCCTTGAGAGGCTTTTGCCACCAGCAAGTTTTATCAAAAGGCGGGAGCATATCCTCACATCAGCCCATAGAAGCTTTGTCCCCAGCCAATAGTGCTGCAAGGCTTCCTTAAACTCATTCTTCCAATGTTGCAACTTCTTGGCCCAATCCTCCCTAAAAACGAGACGATATGCAGAGTAAAAGAAAGAACAATCAAAGGATGGTAGAGTGCATATTAACATTCTATTGATGGATAGCATTATGGGTTAACTCAGTTGAGATGATTCGGAGTGCAGTTTCTAATTTTATTGAGGAAATAGGCAATTTGGCTAAGTGGCTTGGGCACAAGGTCCAGAACACCAGGTTCAAAAGTAAACACCCCAAATCAACAGTAATAACCAATACATTAGAATGTATTATATTATTAAGGCTGACTCAATACTTTCAATTTTAGATTACTGATTCCAAAAAGATGCAGGAGTTTCACCATGAGTGATTGGGGTATAAACACCACTACACAAACAAACAAATTTAGAAAAACTGAACCACAAAAGAAACACCAGAAACAGATAAGATAGTATAGCAATCATGATTGACCCAATTGAGATGATTTGAAGTTTAAATTGCTAAACCATTGAGTTTTATCTTGGCCCAATGGGTTAAATGGTTAGAGAATATGAACTAACACCCAATGTTCAAATCGTAAAAAAGCTTATTTATTTTTTAATTGGAAAGATAAATGCCCTTGTTCTTCTCTATAAATGTGGGCAGTGCCAATCTTCCATGTGTACTAGCTAAAACTTTCTACTGGGAAAAATAATCTCAACTTCCATAGAAAAGTAATAGAAGCACCAAAAACAAAAAAGTTAAACGACAAAAAGATGAAAAAAACTCACCTGCTCATTGAAGCAACAGCACGAAGAGCTGGTCCAATACCCAACAGCATGGCCCATACCTTTTGTACAAGAGACTTGGCTTTCTTTTGAGACTCTTGCAATTGTTTAGCCCTTGCTTTTACCGAGCTAAGACCCTCTACTGCTTGATCACATTCCTCTGGTGAAGCCTCCTTAATTTGTTTTGTACTTGGCTCTTCATTTGTTTCCTCCTTATTGTCCATCTCTGGTTGACCAGCTGTGGCGGTAGTGGCATTACGAACTGATTGAGACATCCACCTGATTCCAAGTGGATACAGAATTTCCACCCTACCATTTTCTCTAAATGAAACCAAATTTCCATTAGTTCCATAGTTCAAAATTCTTGAGATGGGTGGCACAAAAAACTTAGCCCCAGGATTATAATCTGCCTCTCTCTCTCTTCTTTCATTCAATTGTGGAGGAGGCAAAGTGGAATCCTGATTTGGAATATGTGAGAGTGAGGCATAAGGTAAAGGCCTATGTCTCAAACTTGAATAACTACAAGACGAGGCAAAGGAAGAGTTTAGGCATCCCAATATAAATCTCTTGTTTCTTGTGATTACCCTTGAAGCCATGATCGAAACACTTCAACTTTTTACAGTAGAAGTCTTTGGACATATCTCTTCCAAAAACACTTTATAAATTTGACTGGCAACCTAGCACTGGAAACAAAAAAAATGTCAAATACTAAAACAAACAAAACAAAACATTAAGAAATACAATATGAAGCCTAATCAAATTTAGAATCACTAAGAAAAACTTTATTGTCTCTTTCTAACAACTTAATCACTCAAAGGATGTATGAAGGTAACTATGAATTACTTCCATGAGCAACTCTTAAAGCAGGAAAAATCTATTGAAAATAACAAATTAAGAAACATAAATAAGTAATGGAATCTCACCTATAAACCAACATAGATTAACATCCAGCATTTTATACGAGTAATTGAACAAATCAACTGCCTGGTTTCTCCAAAAAACTCATGGGTTATTACTACTGTCGATGTGATTATTGTTTCTAGGTCTATTCCAAAGATAAAGTCAACAATATCCGGTTCTTTCCTTCATAGATGAAGAGTAATCTTAAGGAAAAAACAAGAACTTAGGTTTCATTCACATAAGAATAAAAACAAATTCTGGGTAGCTTTCACACACTAGTAACACTAAATCCACACACGAAAGTGACAACTCTGGGTTTCTTCCACAATGAATAAGCAGCAGCAGTAAATTTCCACATCCGAGGATGATCACCCATATGTTTATTCTCACCTTTTTTTATGCTTATTCACTAATAAAGGCAAAAGCCACTAGGTTTTTTCTTTTCATCAATGTACACTCAAGCATAAAAGTATCAGCCAGAGATACAGAGGAATTGCCAGAAATACAAAGAAATTACATAAATATTTCTAGTAAGAGAAAAAGTGAAACCACAAATTTGTTTTGTGATAATGACAAAATTATAGGTATTTTCCACGTACCAGCAACACTAAATTCACCAAAAAATGGTGATAAATTCTGGGTCAAGTGACTTTTCATTTCAAAAAGGATCACAGTTTAAAACCCTTTGGTTTTTCCTTTTCACCAATATAAGCTCAACCCTTAAAGTACCGACCAGAAAAACAGAGAAATTGCTAAACATTTCTGCCAGGAGAAATCAAACCAGAGATTGGGTTTCATTAACATAACAATAGCAACAAATTCTGAATATTTCTCACAAAATAACAACATTGAATTCAAGCAGAAATAACGATAAATTCCGGGTTTTTTCTACGTACTGTAAGCATTAAACTACAGTGATTTACCACATCAAACGATGATGGCCATGTGTTTATTCCTCTGAATTGCCAAAAAACCATATGGGTTTTCCCCTTTCACCAATGAACACTCATGCCTCAAAGTATCAAGCAGAAACGCAGAGAAATTGCACATAATTTTTAGTGAGGTGGAGAGAGAAAGTACCTTAATGATCTCAAAGTATTGGTGGGGTTTTGGAAGGGTTTACGTTTTTTATTGCACATGGGACTAAGATTTTATGGAAGATGTTGCAAAAAATGTAGAGAGAGAAAGACGGAGAAATTAGGGCACTTTAAAAGTCGTTGGATATAAACTGTGGGGTATGAATAAATAAAAATGGGGTTTTCAAATAAGAGCTGAGAATAACTGCACTTAGTCAATAATCAATGGGTGTGGTTTCTATGAGGTTGCAACCTTAAACAATCCCGTTAAAGCGCACCTCCAAAATTTTATCTTAATATTTAATTTTGGTATAAAATAATTTTTAGAATTATCTCAAAATCTATTTTCATATCTAATTATAAAATTTTAAATTCTAAAAATAAATAAAATTCAGTAGATCTATAAATATATAAAAATCTTGAAAATGGACGGTCCACGTAATGTGTTGCAAGATGCACTATTTCTAGAACTTAAAACCTGTTTATTTTTTTTCATATTCATACATCCGATGTCGAGATGATAAATTAGAAAGTTTTTCAATACTTTTTTTGTGAGTAGCTCTTAAAAGAAAGCTATCTACTAGGGATAACCTTCGTAAGAGAGGTTTCATAATTGTCGATGTTTGTTGGCTATGTTTGTGGGATAATGAAATGTAGACCATATTCTTTTACATTGTCCTTTCATTCTAAGTATGTGGAACTAGTGTAGAACGTTGTTGAATCTAAATATCCTGATCCCATAAATCCTAGAGTTGATCATCTCTTAATGGATGAATCGTGGTCTGTCGAAAGTTGGCATTGTGCTATGGAAAGCTTTATGGGTCAGCACTATTTGGAATATTTGGAAAGAGATAAATAGAAAAATATTTGAAGGGACACAAAGTCAGATTGAAGTTTTGAAGTCCAACACCTTAGCAACAACGACTGGATGGTTTTGAACAAACAAAGATGGTAAGTTTATC